GTGGCTTAAACTCACGCTGGGCGCATGTGCTTGCATGCCCAAGATCCCAAGAGGAGAATGAAGGAGAAGGGATTGTGGCATGGCCATCCCTCTGGAGGGGTGATTTCTCGTTTTCTGTCTCTCTGTCTCTCTCTTTCTGGTGAGCACATGTGCCCTATAGCAAAAACCTCTCAAAAAAAAGAACAAATGGACCTATAGGCCATAGGAGTTCCTAGAGAGCCACTGTATTATAGTAATAGACATGATTTCCTGGATCCTTAACAGAAACATTTTCAATTTAAGTATTATTACTTTTGAGATCTGATGCATTTTTGGAAATTGCTAATTATTTAAGCAAGTTCCTATTTGTGTTCTTGCATTCGTTTACTCAAACGATTCATTTTTATGGATGAATAATAGCACTGAGAAATTAAGTGTGTATTAAATGGAGGAATCCATGTAAAAATAAGTTACCTAGACTTGAGATTCATTTATCCAATAAAATATTAAATATCTACTATACCAAGCACTGTTCTGTGTGCTGTAGTTACAACTGCTTTCATGGGGCTTACATTGTTACAGCAGAGGTGAACAAATAATACAACAGGTAGTGATGAGTGCTATGAATAGAAATAAAGTGAAGGTTTAGAAAAATTGGAGGTTGTATTTAAGGGAAAGCCTCTCTGATGACATAAATTTGAACAGAGCCTTGAAGGAGAGCAGGAAAATTAAATATGTTTAAAATATTTTCACCAATACAGTAAATTATTATTTTGAGATTTAAGTAACTACATTTCACTTATTTTTAGGTAAATAGTCTATGCATTGACAAAACTAAGATAGTTTTGGTTTTATAATTTCTCTATCTGGAACCTTAAAAAAAATTTTGTTTTTATCTAAATATAGTATTCCAAAGTATTTGTGAATAGAAGAATAATAACATATTGTTTATTAATTACAGTCTTAAAATTATTCTAATTTAGTATCATAAAACCTTTTATTCTCTATATATTTTAAAACTGCCACCTTTACTTCTAGAAATTACTAAACTACTAAAAACATATATATTTCGTATAAAATTACAGAAATGCCAGTTGAAAGCCATATGAAACAGGGCTACTTTATTTTTAACATTTCTTTTCTATTCTCTCCTTACAGATTGAAACACAGTTAGCAGAGTATCACAAATTAGCTAGAAAATTAAAACTTATTCCTAAGGGTGCTGAGAATTCCAAAGGATATGACTTTGAAATTAAGTTTAATCCTGAATCTGGTGCCAACTGCCTTGTCAAGTACAGAGCTCAAGTTTATGTAAGTAATCATGGCTACTTCAAAGGGATTTAAATTATAAGCTCAAGTTTATGTAAGTAATCATGGCTACTTCAAAGGTATTTAAATTATATCATTGGCATCTTTAAGTGTTTGAAATTCTGTCTTTCTTCTTGGTAGGAAAAATCTTCACTCCTTTATATCTAACTCAAAACCTTTTCTACCTCTCTACCTACTTTATCTTATTCAACTAGCCAGTAAAATTTGATTACATAGAAGATAGATACCAGGGAGCCATCCAAGTAGCTCAGTGGTTAAAGTGGCTGGATCCTACATGGCCAGCTGCACCGTTCGAGTTCTGGGCCCAGTGACTTAAAAAACATGCCAGGCGTGTGTGCCTGTGTGCTAAAAATCCTGATAGGAGAATGGAGGAAAAGGGATTTCAGCATAACCATCCCCCTGGGGGATGCTTGCTCTCTCTCTCTCTCTCTCTAGCAAGTGCATGCGCCCTATAGCAAATTTAAAAAACAAAATTACAATAGATAACCAGGACAATAAAGACAATGATGACCTAACTCTTGCTGTCTGGTTACTATTATTCCCCCGAATGGAAAAAAGGCATAAATAAATTAAATAGGTAGATAGGTAGGTAGGAGATGCTTTATTACAAATATTTACAGTGGGGGCTAGCAGGTGACATACTGGTTAAGGCACTGGACTCCTACATGACAAACCCCACTGCAAGTTCCAGATTTGGTGGTTTGAAAATCATGCCGGGCACATGTGCATGCATGCCCAGGATCCCAGGAAGAGAAGGGATTATGATGTGGCCATCTCCCCCATGCCCCCCGGGGGTGATTTCTCACTTTCCTTCTCACTGTCTTTTTCTGTCTCTCTCCGGTAAGCACATGCACCCTATGGCAAAAAACAAGATCAGTTCTTCCTATGCAGCAGAAAAGATTTCGTAGAGATGGTGATCCTGAAATGAAATCTTGAGATATTTTTTGGAGGTGGTCTGTTGAAAAAAATTGTAGGCACAAGGACACATTTTAAGACAAAGTGTTAAGGGGCATTAAGAATGCCAGCAATAAACAATGAGAATTGTGTACCTTATTTCAAAGCATAGTCAGTCAGGTATTTGGGTTAAGAAAATGTTTAGGTTATTTTATTGTAACTGCTCAAGTTATTCACAGATTTAAATATTATAGTAGTCCCCAAAAAGTCAGTTTTCAGAATACTTAGTTTTTAAATAGAAGAATGTCAATTAAAATCAAAAGCTATGCATTTTTTTTCCTTGAGACAGGACTTATTCATTCATTCATTCATCCATCCATTCATTCATTCAGCAAATATTTACTCTGTTCATATTATGTTCCAAACCAGTCAGGTGCTAGAGATAAAACACACTGCTTCCCAAACATTATAGATTGTTGGGACAGACGTTGATTAAATCAAGCTAGACTTATTTTCAATAGGAAAAAAAAAAAAATTCGTCCAATGAACATTTAATTCCTTACTGAATTGTTTCTCAAGCCAGTAGCCAGCTAGCTGAGTAGGTATTGTAGATAAATCGATTGATGTGTCAATAGATAGGCAGGAGGCAGGCAGATAGAGTTTACTTACCACTATTTTGAACAGTTTGACATGTCTATTACAATTAATCATATCACTGTAGAAAAGATTACCTGGTACAAAAGGAATGCATGTGCTCAGAAAAGAGAATTTTAATTTGACCTCTGGAAACAGTTTTACATAATAATAGAATAATAAAAGTAGAAAAAACATCAATAAGGTACAACACCAACTGTCATAAATAGTATTCAGTGAAAAGTTCATAAAGAGATTTGAGAGACTATTGCATCTTTTTAAAAAAAAAAAAAAAAAAAAGCAAACTGGGGCCAGCAGGTGGCGTCGTGGTTAAGGGCACTGGCCTCCCACATGGCCGACCGCTGTTCAAGTCCTGGACCCAGTGGCTTGCTTTCTCTCTCTCTCACCTCCCTCCTCCCCTCTCTAAGCAAATTTAAAATTAATTAATTAATTAATTAATTAAGATAAATAAAAAATAATAATTCAAAAAAAAAAGGCAAACCAACATTAAAACACCACAATAAATTCAAAAGATGACTTATAATGATGTGGAGTTTCTTTTGGAGTGGTGAAATGTTTTGGATCAAGAGATGATATTTATACAACGTTGTGAATGTACCAACTGACTCTGAATTGCATACTTTGAAAGGTTTAATTTTGTGTTAAATTTATTTTAAACTATTTTAGCTTAACCATTTTAAAATATGAATTTCACCTCAAAAAAGAGAAAAAGAGAAGCAATAAAGTAGTGTGCTGGAATAAAACCAGTAGAACAGAAGATAAACATAAGAAAAACGGAATTGTGAGACTTAGAGCTGAAAAGGATTAAGAAAAATCAATACATCTAGAGAACATGTCATAAAAAATGCAACCTACACATAAACTGTTTCCCCAAAAATACTGCAGTAAACTACGTAAACTAAGTGTATATGTGAAATGTTTAAATAATAATGGTGAATTTTTAGAATAGATGAGAAAATATTGAATTTTGCAGATGCTCAAAAGCAGATTTATGATTACAGAAATTCCATTAAAAGTTAGTTTTGTTTTCTTATTGATGATATATTCAATTTAAAATATCATGTTTTACTTTTTTTCTCCAAATATGTCTCTTCCTATCACAATATTTAGATGGCTCATAAGAAAAATGTCATAATTACATGTTATATCACCCACATGCCTATGTATTTTATAGGTGCCTCTCAAGGAACTCCTGAATGAAACCGAAGAAGAAATTAATAAGGCTCTAAATAAAAAAATGGGTTTAGAGGATACTTTAGAACAAGTAAGTAGTTAAACATAAAAGAATCATTAAAAGCAAATATAAGATTTATAAAACCTAAAATTAAATGTGATTTGTGTTTTCTGATTGCTAAGGGATTACTTTTTTTATGAAAAACAGAATTGGGTATACCTTTGACAGATATATTTGAAGTAATTATTATGGAATAAAAAGGGGTCAGGGCAGCCCCGCCCTGCCAGGTCCCAGAACCTGCTCACTGCACTCATTTTCAGTGGTTTCGACTCCCTGTTAGTCACTGCCTTCTGTCCCATCTACTTCTAACCCCTAAAGGAGGCAGAGGAATGCCAGAAGGAACAAACCATTAATGAAGCTGTTACTGTTCAAGAAGTGCAGCCAACAGGGTTAAATCCGTTTGGTTTGATCCATTTGGCAGCAAATGAGAAGGCTACATACTACTCTAATTAAGAAAGTAGATGTCGGGGCCGGCAGGTGGGTGGTGGTTAAGGGCGCTGGATTCCCACATGGCAGACTGTGGTTTGAGTCCTGAAACTGGCAGCTTGCTTTCTCATTTTCCCTCTTTCAAAATCTCATTCTGTCTCTCTCTGGTCAAATTAAAATACTAATAGTAATAATAATAAATGAATTTAAATGAAAAAAAATTATTTTAAAAAAAAAGGAAGTAGATGTCTTCCTACTTTCAACTCTACATCAAGTACACAAAATCACCCCACTATCTAATGATGGCTGGAGAAGAAAACACTGTAATGCCATAAGAGTGCTTATAAGAAAAGACTCCACAAGGATCGATAGTTCCCTTCTTAGATAGCTAGAGAACCTTCAAGCAAATTAGACCATTAGGAAGGTTCTCGTGATTCTATTGACTTTTCCAAAATGAAGCTAAGTCACCCAGCTGTGTTCTGAAAAGATCTGCTTATCATTCAGCCTCTACCACTTACCCAACTGAACTGCGATATGAATAGAAGCAACCAGTGGGCTTGACAAGGTCTAGATCTAGTTTGCTATCTTCCAAATAAGAGAGTTCAGTGAAAAAGCACCATGCTAAGCTGCCTCCTAGGGCTTTTTGAAAATGTTCAAGTAGGTAAAGCTCTTCGGGGACAAGGTCCTGCTGTTTAAGAATAAACAGTTCAATTTAACCATCTCTTCTTGCAGATTGCTCCATATTTAAAAATAAATAAATTTGAAGCAAGTCAAACTAGATAAATACACATGCACAGGAAAAATAAATGATACATTAACAGAAGCAAAAAAATGTATATTAAAATGATTTATTTTTACTTCAAAAAAGGAATTTAAACATTCTAGGCTTTACTTATCACTGATGATGAAGTGATAGGAAACTAAGTAAGTTCCTTTGTTTAATAGAAAATTGCCTCTTTAACTTGAGATCATTTATTCTCTTTTTATACTAAAAGGGGTTTGAAGTAGCTACCTTTGAAAGATGTGTATCATTTAGCTGTGATAAATTAAGTGGGTTTTTTTGTTTTTATTTTTAACTAGGTTTTTCATTCAGGATCATGGAATTTCAAGAGAATTCAAAATTCTGTTTTGGTCTCAACTGGTCTCAACTGATCTTAAATACACATGGCTAGCTTTAACAAGATTAAATATGGCTATTACTCTTTGGAAGAATGCATGACTGAAACCAAATAGCAAACATTATCTAAAAAAACTAATATGAACTTTTTTTTTAAACATCCCAGAAAGCGAACATACAATGAAAAGCTAGGTAACTAGCAAAAATAGATAAAGTCTAAGTAAAGCTAGACTTCAAAACTAGAGAGCAAAAATAATTTAGAGGATCAGGTTGGCGTGGTGGTTAAGGTGCTAGACTCCCACATGGCTGACTGCAGTTCAATTCCCATACGTGGTGGCTTGCTTTCTCTCCCTCTCTCTCTCTCTCTGTCTCTCTGTGGTCAAGTTAAAAATAATAGTGATAATAAATAAAATAATTATTTAAAAATTATACTAATTTGTTTATAAATTAACAGTAGTAATAATTATAATATTTATATAATATAAGTGAGAGTTTAAAAAGCACTCCCAGCTACTAGTAGAAAAATACATTAGTACCCTTATTTTGAAATGCCTTTGAAATTAATTTCTCTTTTGGGAATAGTAAACTTTTTGGATGAATGATAGATGAGAGACCAAAAGGACTAGAAGAACAACATAGGTCAGTTAGTTGATTGATAATATAAAAATTCAGTAACTTGTTGGGACCAACAGTTAGCATAATGGCTATGTCGCTGGACTCCCATGTAATCGACCGCGGTTCATGTCCCAGACCCGGTGGCTTAAAATTCATGCCAGGTGCATGTGCGTGTGTGTCCAAGATCCCAAGAGGAGAATGGAGAAGAAGGGGTTGTGGCGTGACCTTCCCCCCTGGGGGGTGATTTTTCGCTTTGTGTCTCTCTGTCTGTCTGGCGAGCGCACACGCCCTATAGCGAAAACCTCTCCCCAAAAAAAAAAAAATTCAGTAACTTGTTAAAATGTCTTTGATGTGTAGACTGATTTCTCAACATAACTTTTATTCCCCAAGTTGAATACAATGATAACAGAAAGCAGGAGAAGTGTGAGAACTCTCAAAGAAGAAGTCCAAAAACTGGATGATCTTTACCAACAAAAAGTTAAGGTAAGAACTTGGCCATAGTTTATATAGAGTAGCTGAAGCTATGTCATGATTTATTGTCTAGGTATACATTCTGACATCAAAACTGAAATCTTTAAGCTATATACTCTAACTTGTTTTAGCTTAGCTTCCAAATTTATTGTAGGAAGTTATTTTGTTTCATAAAGGACATTTTTCTGAACTAGAGCTATTTTACCACAGAATGCACTTACTGTTCTATTAATATTTTATTCTCATATATATGATTCAGTATTTTTGTAGTACTAAAACATGTTTTAAATGTAACTTCTTTTACTTTCGTATGACTTAAACATGACCTATGCCTAAAGATTGAACTCCTATAAAGCCTTTTGTATATGTAGTTGCCCATCAAGAGTAGTTGCAAACTAAGGATCCTGGCCAAATACCAGTCTATTTATTTACATGAAACCTAGGTGAGTAAAAGAATAAGACTGATTCTCTGCCACTTTATCCCACCTTGTGACCCATACTTTACTTAGAGAAGTATTCAAATGACACTGTTCATTATTACTTACATAGTTTATGTGGAAAAAAAAGTTTATTTTTAAATTTTATTTATTATATATTTATTTTAATTTGACCAGAGAGAGACATGGAGAGAAAGAGGGAAAGTGAGAAAGCAAGCCACCAAGTCCAGAACTCAAACCATGGTTGGCCATGTGGGGAGGGAGTCCAGTGTGCCTCAGCCACTACGCCACCTGCTGGCCCCTATATGGAAAAATTTTGACACCAATATTTTTTACTTTAGTTGTGTCAAAAAAGTATCAGGAATTTAAAACTTTTCTTTTGACTTGTCTGTATATTTAAGGTCTATACATGTTTTTAATTAATTGATACTTTAATTCCATTTCATACAACCTTTTTTTTGGAGAGGTTTTCACTATAGGGTGTGTGCACTCGCCAGACAGACAGAGAGAGACATAGAGACAGAAGGCGAGAAATCACCCCCCAGGAGGGATGGTCATGCCGCAATCCCTTCTCCTCCATTCTCCTCTCGAGATCTTGGGCACGCACGTACATGCGCCCGGCGTGAGATTTTTAAGCCACCGGGTCCGGGACGCGAACCGCGGTCGACTACGTGGGGGTCCAGCGACATAGCCATTACGCTAACTGCTGGTTCCCCTATACATTTTTTTAAGTAGTGTGAAATTCTTAGAAAATACACCACTTGATAAGATCTACATGTAAAATATGAGACACTCAGTTAATTATTTTTATTTTTCTTATGTCCTCCATTACAGTAATTGACTGTATTCTCAGAAACACTTAAATGAAAGAATGTATCTTCACAAAACTAAGGATTGATGAATTTGGGCTGCTTCATGTATAGCTAATAAATCTGTGAAATAATTACCTGTTATTATATACCTATTATTCACCTAATAAGTCTGTGAAATAATGCCTCCTTGATACTCAGGAGAAAAAAATTGAAATCAAGGTACCATAAGATGTTCTATAGTTTAGAAAAATCCTGCTGAGGGAATCCTAACAGTCCTTTTGAAAAAGTCTTATCTGTGTTTATAGTGTAGGCTCCCCAGGAATATTTAAAAATCTCTCAGACAGAGCCAGCAGGTGGTGTGGTGGTTAATACACTGGACTGCAACATAGATAACTGTAGTTCAAATTCCAGACATGGAGGCTTGAAACACACTGAGTACGTGTGCGTGCATGCCCAAAATCCCAAGAGGAGAATGAAAAAGGGATTGCAGTGTGGCCATTATCCCTGGGGTATAATTTCTTAACTTTCCCTCTCTGTCTCACTCTGGCAAGCACACACCTCCTATGGCAAAAGCCTAATTAAAAAATAAGTAAATAAATACTACCTGGATTATGTAGAATATGAATTTCAAAAAAACATAGCTTGGGACCAGACAATGGCACAGCAGTAAAATGTGACAGTCTATGAAGTAATCTCATATGGTAAGGTTACCAATTGAAGTCCAGAAACCTCCCTGAGTTTATCAGTCATGTACTTGCCCATGATTTGGGGCTAGGTGAGATCTTGGGGTGGACCATGGTATTAAGAACTTCTTGAAGTGCTGTTTCTCTCCCTTTCTGTCTCTCATGGGAAAAATAAATAAACATTTTTGAAAAATAACCATAACCATGACTTTATCCTGATGCTTTATCAGGAAGCTGAGGAAGAGGATGAAAAATGTGCCAATGAGCTTGAGTCCTTGGAGAAACACAAGCACCTGCTAGAAAGTGCTGTTAACGAGGGTCTCAGTGAAGCTATGAATGAATTAGATGCTGTTCAACGGGAGTAAGTTTATCTCTCCAGTATTTATGAGCTTATTTTCAGATTAATTATTTAATATTTCTTTAAAAATACATCTTATTTTATTTGCTTTCTTTTATATTATAAAGTTATTTAGGGTGGAAGAAATAGTGAATAGAACTTAACCAGAGCAGCTTAGTAAAGGTATGTTTTCCTTTGACAAGTACATTCAGCTACTATTAGTTTGCTCACCAAGAAATTACTCATTTTATAGATCTAATTAAAAAATGGCTTCTAATCCCTGAAAACAACAAAATTTTAAAACCATTCAAGTAAGTTTGGCTATTTGTCAGTGAATTTTAATGAAATCCCACTAAGCTTTAATAAACTCCACTAAGCTTCTCACATTTTTAAGTTATAGTTTCTATAAATTACATATAAAATATAGTAAAACATAATTATACTGTAAATTATCTGTAAGTTAGTCTGCTATAACACAGCCTTCCTAATAATAACCACACTGCAAAATCATGCAATAAAAATCACAAAACTTATGGGAAAACCGATATTGGACGCAACACTCAAATGCTCCATTAGTGACATACACAAACAAAAGATGGGAACCTAAGGCAGACACATGTGGAAAAGTTTTGGTTCACATCTAGAGACCTTCTGGAGTACATCAGGCACACACATGCCCGTTATCCAGGCATTCTGGAGCTGGAAGTGGATCACAGCGTAAAGACCCTATCGGGTTGCATTATCTCTGTCTCCCTTAATAAATAAATAAACTGTAAAAAATACATAAATGTTACAATAAATATAGAACCTTCACCTTAGAAAGAAATAAAAACCTGCCATGGGTACAGTAGTTGATATGCTGGGTAAGGCGCTGGACTCTCATATGGCCAACCGCAGTTCAGATCCCAGACATACTGGCTTAAAACTCACACCAGGCGCATGTGGGTTCGTGCTCAAAATCTCAAGAAGAAAATGGAGACGGGATTGCAGCATGTCCATACTCCCAAGATGGGGTGATTTCTCTCTCTTCTTCTCTCTGTCTCTGTCTCTCCAGTGAGTACACACACTCTGTGGCAAAAACTAAAAAGATATATATATATATATATATATCCTGCCATTTCCTTTGGGAAATGGACAATCAGTATTGCAGCTTATGAGTTACTGTGAAAGGTGAAAGGATAGTTATTTGAAATGGGATAGAGAATTGTTAACACCAGTTGTAGATGCATGTGGCTTATTATAGAAGTGGTGAACTGAGGTAACTGGCAGACATTTGAAATATATGCATGTTTGTTTTGTATATACTTTCAAGTATTTCTCAAGAAAATTGGCATAAGCAAAGTGAAATCTACATTATGCTCAGATTTTGCATATTGCTACTAAGTATATCAGTCCAGTTGGAACAAATGCACATTTCCAAGCAAGCAGTATAGAAGAATTTACTGTATATTTTGTTTTGTGTTTTAGAAATTCCCATAGTAATAAAATTATACACCATCAAATTTTTTTCCCTTCATTTTCCCTTATAGATTTTAAAACTTCTATAGGAAAAATTGTACCCCTCTATGTAATAACTTTTACTAAAAATACTAGCATCCTTTCTTTAAAGAATATTCTGCCTTTGTATATATAATTTTCTTATGCCCCCTATGTAAAATCAATATACTAAATAGTTCATCTATAGACACTGTGTACATTTATGTAAAAATATACATTTTTTAAAGATTTATTTATTTAATTCCATTTATTGTTGGTATTTTTTATTTGACCAGAGAGAGGCAGAGACAAAGAGAAAGGGAAAGTGGGAAAGCAAGCCACGAGGTCCAACTCTAACCATAGTCAGCATGTGGGAATCCAGCACCTTAACCACTATGCCATCTGCCTGCCCCAATACACATTTTTTAAGTCTAAAATGGTCCTCAAATAACTAGAAACTTCTTATTTTGAGATTGCAAGTATAAGCCTTTGTGAAAGCCACCTCTCTTCATTTCTTTATTTGTAGTCTAGGGATAGAAACCTTAGTTGAGGTTGAGACCAGCAGATGGTGTGGTGGTTAAGACACTGGACATTCCCACATGATTGACCACGATTGGAGTCCTGGAACTGATGGCTTATTTTCTCACTTTCCCTCTCTCTCTCTCTCTCTCTTTCTCTCTCTGTGTGTCTCTCTCTAGTCAAATTGAAAAATAGAAATGAATTAATAATTAAAAACTAAATAATTCTAAAATTAAAAAAAGAAAGAAATCTTAATTGAGGTTTATTTGGCCTGTAGTTTTGTTTGTTTTGAATTTGAATATGAATGCCTAAATATAAAACTTACAGTCCTCCATTTATAAATTTTCTGTCTTGTTCCTAAATATATTTGAGTTTATAATCCCTTTGGAAATGCACGTAAGAACATTCACTCCAAAACATGTAATAGTCACTCCAAAAAGCTATATGAATTTTTGGTGCTGTTGCTTACAAAGATTTTTTGAAAATGTTTTTATTTCTGTTGTAATGATTGATAGCTGGGCCACTGTGACTATATATAGCAAGCAGCACATAGACCAATCACAAGTTGCTTTTTATTGAATATGGAAATAGAAAGTGAGGTAACTGGAAGTGATATATTAATTTTTTTTCTAGACAACTTAAACCAGAGTTTTTACTTTGCAGATATCAACTAGTTGTGCAGACTACAACTGAAGAAAGACGAAAAGTTGGAAATAACTTACAACGTCTTTTAGAGATGGTTGCTACACACGTAGGGTCTGTGGAGGTATGTGTGAGAAGTTCTCTCATATATTCTAAGAAACATTTTTCAAACTTTGATGTGTTACTATTTTGTTTTGTAGGAATTAAATGATGAATTTTATTTCTTTTGAAAATATGGTCTAGTAAAAATCTGTCAGGAGAATCCTAATATACTTGTGCTTTTTTTTTTTGGAGAGATTTTCACTGTAGGGCGCGTGCGCTCGCCAGACAGACAGAGAGAGACATAGAGACAGAAAGCGAGAAATCACCCCCCAGGGGGGATGGTCACGCCGCAATCCCTTCTCCTCCATTCTCCTCCTGGGATCTTGGGCAGGCAGGCACACGCGCCCTGTGTGAGTTTCAAGCCACCGGGTCCGGGACACGAACCGCGGTCGACTACGTGGGAGTCCAGCGACATAGCCATTACGCTAACTGCTGGTTCCCTATTTTTGTGCATTTTATAAGTAATCTGTTTTGTTTGCATAAACATACACTTATATTTTTTCTTTTTTTTTTAAGAATTATTTATTTATTTATTTGGAGAGGTTTTTGCTATAGGGTGTATGCACTCACCAGAAAGACAGAGAGACAGAAAGCGAGAAATCACCCCCCAGGGGGGATGGTCACGCCGCAATCCCTTCTCCTCCATTCTCCTCTCAGGATCTTGGGCACACATGCACATGCGCCTGGTATGAATCTAAGCCACCGGTTCAGGGACTCGAACCACAGTTGACTACATGGGAGTCTAGTGGCATAGCCATTATGCCAACTGTCCCCAATTATATTTTTTCACAGCAATGCTTTTTTTCTTTTTAGAGAGAGATTTTTTGCTATAGGGTGCTTGCACTTGCTGGAGATACAGAATGCAATACATCTCCCCTTTGAGAGGGATAGCCACACTACAATTTCTTCTCTCAGGATCTTGGGCATGCACACACATGCACCCAGCATGAGTTTAAGCCTCCAGGTCCAGGATTTGAACCATGGTCAACTACGTGGGAGTCCAGTGATATAAACACAGAGTAAAGTATTTCTGAAACATGAAGTTTACCTTATCCCCACTCTTCACATAGCTTGAAAGTTCAACAATAAAGCTATTCCTTCAACCTATGTATAGTCCCTTAAAAGCTAAGATAAATTACTGAACTATAAAATTTGTGGATAATTTGGGACCAGCAGATGCCAGAATGGTTACATCTCTGGAATTCTACATAGTTGACCATGGTTCGAGTCCTGGACCCAGTGGTTTAAAACTCACACCAGGCATGTGTGCATACATACCCAAAATCTCAAGAGGAGAATAGAGAAGAAAGGATTGTGGCATTACGATCCCCCCTTGGAGGAGATTTCTCACTTTCTGTCTCTCCAGTGAGCGCCTGTGCCCTATACCCAAAAATCTCCAAAAAATAAAAGAAAAAGCCTTGTGGGTACCACATTAGAAAACTTGATTCTATCCTCTTCTTCCTAATTGAACCACTTAGTGGCTCTGTATGTTTGCTTAGATCCTTTCAACCATTATTATTCATCTAAACCATATGCCTGAAAATTATTTGAGTGAATATTTTCTTATTCCTCCAAGGATAATGTATAATACTTCTATTATAGATGCATAACAGATAAGCTCATTCATAGCATACAACTGATGGCTTAAGTTTATAACGTCTACTTGTATATATCATTTTATTTCTTCTGTTCTTCACTTTCTTCATCTATAAAATGAGGGTGTTGTAGTAATTGATTGCCAACATCCTTAGCACCTCTAAGTTTCTGTTATCCCTATTAGTCTGTCCTCTATGTTAATTCATTAGTGACTTGCCACTAGGGAATTCGTGTGAAATGTAAACAGAACTATTAAAGTTTTAGTCAGTTAACATAAGTTAGATTTGAAAATCTAATGGTAGGTTACTATTATGTTTTGGTTTGAATGTAGTTCAGTGTGGTTTAAGATCACACCAAATTCAACATATACTTATACTAAGCAGTTTGTATTATGCAAAAGCCATGATCAGAAAGTATAAAATGTTTAATAGCTTAACTGGTAACAGGGAAGAAGCATAAAAAGTCAAATGTAATGTGAGGAAATTTTAAAATGAGTAATGAAGTTAGCATGAATAAAACACAAATTTGGATCTAATGGTATCTTTAGATAGTATATTTTTCTTATGGGACAGAGTATTTCTCTGAGCAGCTGTTGGAGTCTCATATGTGTGCTGTGTCTGGCTTGATGGTCTAGATCAGGGTTCAACAAACTGTGCTCACAGCCTGTTTTTATAAGTAAACTTTTATTGAAACACAGCCACCTCATTTGTTTCCGTACTGTCTATAACCTCTTTTGCACTACAGTGGCAGCGTTGATCACATGGCGGTGAAAACCCACCTGGCCTGTCAAGTCTAAAGTATTTATTATTTGACCCTTTACTGCAAAAGTTTCCTAACTCCTTTTTTTTTTTTTTTTTTGAGGAGGTTTTTGCTATAGGGCGCGTGCACTCGCCAGAAAGACAGAGACAGACAGAAAGCGAGAAATCACCCCCCCGCGGGGATGGCCATGCTGCAATCCTTTCTCTTCCATTCTCCTCTCAGGATCTTGGACAGGAACGCACACACACGTGCCCGACATGAGTTTAGGTCACCGGGTCCGGAACTTGAACCGTGTGGTTAACTACATGGGAGTCCAGCAACCTAGCCATTATGCTAACTGCTGGTCCCCTAACTCATTCTGAGATCCTACTTCTCTGAGGAATATAAAATCTTTTGTAGAGGCAATATTGCAGAATAGTAGGATCAAATGAATTGTTCAATTAAAGAAACAGGATCTCTCCCTTAAAGTCTATACAGAAATCAGTTTCAGATGGACGAAGAGAGGTGCTAATTTTTTTTTTTTTGAGAGGTTTTTGCTATAGGGCGTGTGCGCTTGCCAGACAGACAGAGACAGAGAGATAGAAAGCGAGAAATCACCCCCCAGGGGGGATGGCCACGCTGCAATCCCTTCTCCTCCATTCTCCTCTTGGGATCTCGGGCACACGCACACACACACGCCCGGCGTGAGTTTAAGCCACTGGGTCCAGGACTCGAACTGCAGTCGACTATGTGGGAGTCCAGCGACATAGCCATTACGCTAACCGCTGGTCCGAGGTGCTAAATTTTTTAACTTTAGATGAATTGTAAGAGACTATCTTTATACCTCAGAGGTTATAAAGATATTCTTGTATTAGACACAAAATATACAAACCTCAAAAGAAATTATCTATAAATGTAGTTTTATTTACATTAAAATCTCAACATCAAAAGAAATAGAACAAGGTACAAATGATGGAAGATATTTAAAAACACAACTGATAGGGCCAACCTTGCATCCTAGTGCTTAAGGAAGCTATATCCCACATGGCCAACTATGGTTCAAATCCTGACCAGAGCAGCTTGAAAAACACACAAGGCATCTATGCACATGTGCCCAAAATCCCAGCAGGATGGAGAAGTGAAAGAGAGGAGTGTTTTTTCCCCTCTCTGTTTTTCTTTCCTGGTCTCTGGTGAGTGCACTTGCCCTATGGCAATTTAAAAACACACACACTCATGCACAACTAATAAAGGATTATGATCCAGATATATAGTGACCTGTGAAAACTGAAGAAAGGGAACAAAAGACTTCAATTGGGGGCCAGCAGGTGGTGAGAAAGTGAAGGTGGAAGGATCCCACATGGCCGATCACTGCTTGGAAAACATGCAGGGTCCATGTGTGTATGTGTGTTCCTATCCAAAATCCAGAGAGGAGAATGAAGGAGAAAGGATTGAGGCGTGGGGTATGATTTCTGACTTTCTCACTCCCCACCCGCCCCCCCGCCTCCACAAGAGCACTGGCACCCTATAGTAAACTAATTTTTAAAAGACTGCAATGGGAATTGAAAAAAAGAGCAAACATGGCCAACAGATACATGAAAAGATATATTATTTCCACACTTAAGAAATTGACAAAAAAATTAAAGTTTGATGATACCAAATGCCAGCAAGTTTGTAGTGAAATGGGAATCATCGTTTACTGTTGAGAGTTGTGTGAATTGATACAACAATTTTAGAAAAACAATTTGATACTTTCTAATAAAGGTGAACATACCTATGCAGTTCTCTCCAGGTATTTACTCTGAAGAAATTTTTATACCATATGCTAGGGTACTATACAGAGTTGAACATTGTTCCCTTGAAATTCATGTTTATCCAAAATATTAGAATATGACATTATTTGGAAGTAGGGTCTTTGCAAATGTCACTAGTAAAGATGAGGTCATATTGGATTAGGGTAGACTCTAAATCTGGTGACGGCGATCTTAGTAAGAAGGCTATGTGAAGATAGAGGCATATGTTGGAGTGTTTTAGCTACAAGCTAAGGAGCCCCAAAGATTGCTTGGAACTACTAAAACCTTGAAAGAAGCAAAGGATTCTTCCTTACAGCCTTCAAAGAGAGCATGGCCCTGTTGACAACTTGATGCTAAACTTCTAATCTTCCCAAATGATGAGAGAATAAATTTCTGTTGTTTTAAGCTACCTAGTTTGTAGCAATTTGTTAATAGTATTAATGTTTGAAATAGCAATAAACAAATAACATAGATTATGAAATTCCTATTGCTGCTTAAACAAATTATCTCCTGGAGGGATGGCCACTCTAAAGTCAGTCCCTGCTCCTCCATTGTCCTCTTAGGATTTTGAGCACACACACCCAGTGTGTTTTTTCAAGCCACCTTGAACCACACATTCGGGGACCAGCAGTTAGCATAATGGCTATGTCACTGGACTCCCATGTAGTTGAACATGTTTCGAGTCCCGGCCCCAGTGGCTTAAAACTCACGCCGGGAGTGTGTGCGTGTGTGCCCAAGATCCCAAGAGGAGAACGGAGGAGAAGGGATTGAGGCGCAGCCATTCCCCCGGGGGGTGATGTCTCACTTTCTGTCACTCTGTCTCTCTCTGTCTGGCGAGCACACGTGCCCTATAGCAAAAACCTCTCAAAAAAAAAACACATTCGGCCATGTGGGATCCAGCTTCCCCAACCACCACACCACCGACTGGCTTCCTTTTTTTCTCTTAACTTACAAATATTACACTCTTGTTTGTAAATGGCACAGTTAAATATTTTTAAAGAAACCAATGTTTTTTACATTAACAATTGCTATTGTTTCCACTAGAAACACCTTGAGGAGCAGATTATTAAAGTTGATAGAGAATGTGAAGACTGCATGTCTGAAGATCTCTTGGAAAATATTGGAGAGATTGCAGACAAGTATAAGAAGAAAGCTGCTCTACTTAAGGCTTCTGATGAATGAAGATAAATTTTTTACTACATCTTTATAAATCTAGTTTATTAACAAAAAAATGCATATAACTGAAATTATGATAACAATGTTAATAATTTAAATTATGACAATATGGATTGCTATCGTTAAGTGTGAAAAACAAATTATATACAGGGCTGTAGTAAATAAAATTTCATCAAAGTATGTTTTTTTCCCCCGTCCTTTCTTTGTCTAACTTTAAATGGTGGGGCAAGAAACATAGGTCTAAACCAAAAGTTAGTAACCTATCATATAAGACAAATCAGTCACACCCAATTATTTACATATTGGCTAGCCAGCTTTTGCACTACAATGGCAGAGTTGAGTATAGTCATTCCTTAGTACACTAGGGGATTGGTTCTAGGACGCCTTTGGATACCAAAAGTATGCTCAAGTCCTTTGTATAAAATACATATAATCTATTCACATCTCTTATACTTTAACTCATCTCTGCATTGCTTAGAATACCTGATAACAATATAGATGCTACGTAAGTAGTTGTTTTACTATATTGTTTAGGAAATAATGACAAAGTCAAACTGTCATAGGCATAACTACATAGTGCACATCAGCAAAACATTTTTTTTTAACGATTTTTGCTGTAGGTTGCATACACTTGCCAAAGAGACAGAAAGCAAGAAATTACCCCCTTAGAACTGGGGGTGGGGGTGGTGGTCCAACCACAATCCCTTCTCCATTCTCCTCTTGAGATTCTGGACATGCATGCATATGCACTTGGTATGAGTTTTAGGCCACCAGGTCGGGGATTCAAACTGTGGTCGACTACGGGAGTCCAGTGAAAATCATTACACCATTCGCTGATCCCAGCAAAACATTTTTGATGGGGTTGGTTGCATCTGCAGAACCCATGAACATAAATGGCTGAATGTATATACAACAACTCACAAAGCCAACAATGTTTGCTGATCCCTTATATAAACATACAAAAGTTGGTACAGTGTGACTGAAACGTTGTTAATGACTGGATGCAATAGGCCAATCCATTACCAACCTAAAGCCCAGTGACTTTCCAAGAAGCTAAAATTCTTTCTGGCTTCATCTTATCTTTACAGTAGAAAAATATAGAATGTCAGAATCAGAAGAAAAAATAAAATAATCTAGTTCGACTTCCTTATTTTAGAGATGAGACTTCATTCCTAGAGCTTTGTTCTACCTTAGGTCATACTTTTTAAGTACTAGAAGTCACACTGGAACCTAAACTGATTCACAATCCTGATTTTAGCCACGGAGCTGTGAAAAATAAATATTAGGGATGATGAGGAAATCCTGTTAAAATGTCAGGTTTTTAAACAGGAAATGAATGGAATTGACATCTGCCTCCAGTTGAATGTTCTATCCTTTGATCTTTATTCCAACTCTGATATAAGTCAGAATGAAGAACATGATAAAAAGTAAGCAATAGACTGTTTGGAATGGCATTACAACAAAGCTTTTTAAGGAGGATAGCATTCAGCCTGAGAGGTGGAATGAACAAAGAAAGGTCATTATTGGGAGATAACTAAGATATGATAAGATCAATAGTTACCAGTGTGCACAAGAATTTTGACTTCTGATATCCAGTAGAACTTTACTAAAAGCTCTATTTACACTCTCTAGTACACCAGCTTCTGTAGAACTTTAATAGAAGCTCTATTTACACTCTCTAGTACACCAGCCACATACAGCCATTGTGTTCTTGGATGACACATATCACTTGCAAGCTTTGCCACTCAAAATCTGGTGTGGAAAAAGTATTGCCTTCTCCTGTGGAATTGTTAGAACTACAATGCAGTTATAAATATACCTCACAATCAAGCTAATAAATATTACCACCAAAACTTTGCTTTGGCCCTTTGCAGTTTTGCCCCTATATTACCCCCACCCTCACCCCAATCCTCATGCAAGCACTGATCTCTTTCCCATTACTATAGACCACTTTCCAACTTATGGAATTTTATATAAATAAATAAGACATCATCTGTACTTTTCTCTATGATTTCTTTTAGTCACAATTATTTCAAAATTCATGTGTGTTGTTTCATGTGTCAATAGTTCATTCTTCTTACTGCCAAGTAATACTCTGTTGTGTGCGTGCACTGAATTAGCTTTATCCATTCATCTGTCAATGGTCATTGGGTTATTTATAATTTTTTACTTTTATTAATAAAAACATGAACAATCATATATGTATTTGTATGAACACAGGCTTTCATTTCTCTCAGGTTAAAAAATACCTACGAGTGAAATTGCTAATCTATATAGAGTAGATGCATATTTAACTTTTAAGAAATTCACAAACTGTTTTCTGAAGTGGTTGTACCATATTATGTTTCCACCTGCAGTGTATGAGTGTTCCGGTTGCTCCACGTCCTTTACTTATACTTGGTATGGTCAGTCTATGTATTTATTTCTCCAGTGAGCAAGAAAGACAGCACCAACAACAGGTTCCTGACATTACAATTTACCCCAAGCCCCAGCCAATCCTGGACCATGGACACACAAATGCCTGGTCTACTCAGAGAGATCTTCGATGCCAAGCCAGAACCTTCCCATGTGGGTCAGCCTTACGGAGCTTTGCATTTTACCACTGTTCCATTTTCCATTCCTGGTCTTTTAAATGTTTACCATCCTAAGAGTATATGGTCCTATCTCAATGTGAAACAATTTTGTATTTGCTTAATGACTAATAATGTTAAACACCTTTCCATGTCTTTATATGTCATCCATATATCTTCATGGTAAAGTACCCCTTCAAATATTTGCCCATAATTTTACTGGATTTTTTGTCTTATTGATTTATAAAGGTCCTTTATATATTATAGATAGAAGCCCTTTAAATTTTCTCCCAGTCTGAGACCTAACTTCATTTTCTTAATAGTGTCTTGTCAAGAACAAAGATTTTTTTATTTTGATGAAACCCAGTTCATTGCTTTTTTTCTTTCATACCCACTGCATTTTGTACAGTACTTAAGAAATCTTTGCCAAACCCAAGAAACCTCTGCCAGCATCATTCTGACTTTCACCTATGTTTTATTCTAAAAGTTTTATAGTTTGGTTACTGAATCAAAATCAGAATTGAAGTCTACATTTTAAAATGATCACGAAGTTATTTTATATGTACATTAAAATTTGAGACACATTCTTTAAAATAAAAAGGCACCATTAGTATCTTTTTTAAGGAATTTTTAGAATTATTTAATTTTATTTATCTTTCCCATGTAGTCAACCACGGTTCGAGTCTCAAACCCGGTGGCTTTAACTCATGCCACCTGCTTGCCCCTAAGTATTATCTTTACTGTATTTTTGTTAAAGAGGTTTTTGCCACAGGGTATGTACACTCGTGAGAGGGGAAAGAGAGACAGAGTAAAGGTGAGAAATCACTCCCCAGGGGATGACCACATCACAATCCCTTCTCCATTCTTCTCCTGGGATCTTGAGCATGCACACACACACACACACACACACACACACACAGGTGCGCCCAGTGTGATTTTCAAGACACTTGGACTCAAACAAATGGTCAGCCATGTGGGAGTCCAGTGACATAACCACTGCACCATGGGCTGGCCCTCTTTAATGTATTTAATAGTGATTTAGGAATGACACAGAGGGATCATACTAAGTTCAACTAAAGTGATAACCTCATTATACAATTTTCTGTTTTGGTTTTTTTTTTTTTTTTTTTTTTTGGAGAGATTTTCACTGTAGGGCGCGTGCGCTCGCCAGACAGACAGAGAGAGACATAGAGACAGAAAGCGAGAAATCACCCCCCGGGGGGATGGTCACGCTGCAATCCCTTCTCCTCCATTCTCCTCTCGGGATCTTGGGCACGCACGCACACGCGCCCGGCATGAGTTTTAAGCCACCGGGTCCGGGACACGAACCGCGGTCGACTACATGGGAGTCCAGCGACATAGCCATTACGCTAACTGCTGGTTCCCACAATTTTCTGTTTTTATGTATTTCTCCCTATATATTAAGTTGTTGAAAAAGTCACTATGTATTTTTCTATACAAAAATGCTTCATGACTTTCCCAAAGATCCTATATGTATAGGTTATCATTTGTATATATAAATGCTCCCTTTTTTCCTAGAATGAATTAGCTAATGATTTCTTCATTTAATTTGGTTTTTTAAACATAATACTTCTGTCTTTCTGTTTCCTAACTTATTAAAATTTTTCTCTTTTTTTACTAATGAACTCATTCTGCTTTGTTTCAATTTATCTTGTTACCTTTCCCCCTAATCTTTTATGGTAGTTTTATTTTGTTTTGTTTTGTTTGGAGAGTGTTTTGTTATAGGGCGCATGCACTCATCAACCATAAAAACAGACAGAGACAGAGAGACAGAAATTGAGAAATCACCCCCCAGCAGGGACAGCCTAGCTACAGTCCCTTCTCCTCCATTATCTTCTCAGGATCTTCGGCACGCACGCAAACGTGCCTGGTGTGAGTTTAAGCCACTGGGTCTGGGACTCAAACCTTGGTCAACTACATAGGAGTCCAGCAACATAGCCATTACAGTGTTACCCTTAGGTAGTTTTTTAAAAAGCTTTTTTATTTATTTTCTCCATTAGTTAGAGAGATATAGATCTAGAGATGGCATCCTTGGCAAGGTCTTGCTCAATCCCCAGCTCCAGCTAGCTCTGATCCTGGGCATGCATGTGTCCAGCACTCTCAAAGAGGTCTCCAGATGCAAGACAGGATCTTTTCAATCTGGATATTGTGCTGACTTCCATGGGTATTCACTAGATTTTTCCTTATGAGGCATCACTTAGAATCAAACTATTCAATAGGAAAAAGAAAAAGATCTCCCAGAGAAATAATTTGAAATCAATAAAAAGAATTGGGAGGACATTGGAGTTTGTGAAGCAATTTAGCAAGTTCTCCAGAAAGTCAGGCAATTTTTCAAAGAGCTGAGGAATTGTGCAGATTTCTAACATGAATATTGGTCCCTGGAGTTATCAAGAGTTTGTATACTTAGCCACAGTATAGTGTGGTAGGGCCGGTAGGGAGGGAAGTATGGTGAGATTTGGGGTGGTAAATGGCTCCTTTCAAGAAACTAACAAGGAAGCAGGGGCAAGCCCCACCAACATTAAGTGAGTGATAACAGAGCGATAGGTTATCATTTGTAGACCTTACAACTTTTGAATGGAGA